GGATCCCATACCATGTGCTACTTTCTGGCAATTTAAAAGGGGGGCGGGAAGTCAACTAAACCCTACTTTTGAATCCATCCTTTCCCAGGAAATTACATGGGAAAATCATACAGGGTGGAGGGGACACCCACTTAGGATAAGGGTTAGTGCCCATAAATTCAAAGTGGAAAACAGACATTGCCAAGAGATTTATAATGCATCTGAATGTTTAGGAGAACATTGACTTTTGGAGTCCACCATTATTATGCATCCTGGTAAAATACATGGGATACATGGGGGGGGGGGGTTGTCATCAAACTCACTTAAGTTAATATTAAGTCTGTATGAAGTTGGATAGCAAAGTGGAGGTTGCCAGTGGCTTTGTTGTGCATAGGTATGTGTTGGGGCCCAGCAGGAGCCGTTGGAGCTGCCACCAAACTCCGACAGCGAGGGGCCCTATGAGTCAGCTCTGGAGGATAAGGAGGACCCTGGACAGGGTTCCGACTCCGAGTAGGGTGCGGAGAGGCTGGTTGGCCACCAGGAGGCACCTGAGCCTTGGACCAGTGGGGAGGAGACAAGGGAGAGTGAGCCGGTTACCAGTAGTGAGTTGTTCCTGGATGCACACCATCGAAGAGCTAGTAGGCGTCAGGAACAGTTGCGCAGGTATAGGAGGTAATTGTACTCAGCTGATGGTCATTAGGCTCCTCTCCAGACTATAAAAAGACTCCTTGTGCACACACACCTTTGCAGAAGTCAATGCAGGATTGAATGTCGGAGGACATTACTGTGAGCTTGGCAGGCTGGATTGCTGCCAAGCCTTATCTGTGTTTATTGCTGCCCAAGCTTGTCTGTGTCTGTTTGCTGCCAAGGACCTGTCTGTCTGTTAATTAAATGCCGTAACTTATCTCTGGCTCAGAGTGTGTGTTGGTGTGGGATGAGGGGGGGTCAGATCAGGTATGCTTAGGATGAATGTGCCTTGAGGAGAGAGCCCTAACTAGTTTCCTGTTAAAATGCATGGTAAAGTCCTATTGGGGTTGGGGTTAGGTCTCCATGAATTCAGAGGGCAAAATAGAAATTACCAAGGTATGCTTAGCAGGGTTCTCACTTTTGCAGCTCATCTATACTTTTAAAATATATGGGATAATCCTATTGGGCAGCAAAACCAGTTAAGAGTTAAGGGTAGGTTTCCATGAATTCTGAGAACAAAATGGAAGTCACCTATGGATTTGTATTGCATCGGTATGCTTGAGAAAGCATTCCATTTGTACACTGCTCTATCTTTATCTTTGCTTCCTGTTAAAATACATGAGAAATTTCCAACTGGGGGCAAAGTCACATAGGGTTAAGGTTAGATGTCCAAGAAGTCATAGAGGAAAATGGAGGTTGACTATAGATTCATAGTGCATTGGTCTGCTTAGGAGGATCCTGACTTTTGAATCCTGCTCTATCTACATTTCCTAGTAAAATGCATTGGAAAACCCCATGAGGGGGGACCCACTTAGGGTTAGGGTTATGTCTCCATGAATTCAGAAAGTAAAATGGATATCTCCAACAGACTCTTGGTGCATTAATATGCTTAGGAGGAGCCTGACTTTCAGAGCCGGTCCAATCTTTGTTTCCTGTGAAATTACATGGAAAAATCCCACTGGATAGCCAACCCACTTAGGGTTAGAGTTAAATGTCCATGAATTCAGACAGCAAAATGGACATTGCCAATGGATTTGTAGCACATCAGTATGTAAAGGGGAGTTCTGACTTTTGGAACCTGTCCTATCTTTGTTTCCTGAAAAAATACATGGGAATGTCACTTTGGATACCTGTTTCTGAATGGCCTACTTAGTTTAGTTGGCTGTATTATTTTCTCTTAGATTGTTCCTGACTATTGTTTTGGGTCTCCTTTATCTGTATGTTAATTACTGGTTATGTGATAAGGGACATGTGATCTATGCCAGGGGTCTCCAACCTTAGCAACTTTAAGGAAAATGCTGGCTGAGGAATTCTGGGAGTTGAAGTTCATAAGTCTTAAAGTTGCCCAGGCTGGAGACCCCTGGTCTATGCAACTATTCATGAATGCTGCCCTAAAATCTGTAAAGAAACCCAATACTTTCTATTAGTCTTGACAAGAAACAAATCTACTCTAAGCCTTGTTTAAAGGAACACAAAAAATAGAGGCAGCCCACTATGATAATCTCTACCCCAAGTCTCATCAAAATGAGTAGAAATTACAAGAGATGACCTTGCTATATGAGCTACCCATCTAGCTTAAATAAAATATGCAAGGTCCCATTCCACTGCTAGAAATACAAATGGTACCAAACATTCAGTTTTCAACAAAATGTGAATTCCACATTCCACAAGAGGGGCCGTTTGGGACCGTTGTCATTTTTATGACTTCAGATTAAACTATGCAAAAGTAAAGAGAACACTTTCAATGAAGCCTTTGTATAGTTTATTGTCTGCTGTTAAATGTATAAAAATGAATAAATGAGGGACATTAAATGGTGAGATTATGTCTGAGCAAACAATAAATAGTTATTTACAGTTTTCAGCAAAATAAAATGTAAGTCTTATTGATCCCCTCATGCACATAGACACACACATACACACACAAACTCCCTTCCTCAGATACAAGCACACCAGACAAAAGGAAAAGACAGACCATCATAAATAATTTACATAGCATAGGCAGTTATGATACAATCAAAATATTAACATCTTAGTCCCAGCACTGATGCCTTTTTTTATTTAAAAGATACAAAAACATTATTACATTAACAAAGTTTCCCTCAATAATTCTTCTCTGGGACTTAACAGCAATACTTTCAATGCATTAAAAATATGATTTGCAAAAGACACCCTCAACAAACCTAATTAAAAACAACATTTAAATGTCTATTAATATGTCAAAACAAAGAATGTGCAATAAAACCAGAAACCCCAGATTCTTGATAAGGCATATATAAAGTCAAAATCCATTGAAAACTGTAGTCAAAGCAGAGGAATGGAATGTGGCTTACTCTATCACACCCTTCAAGCAACTCAAGAGAGATTCTTGAACAGCCATTGCGATAGGGCAGCAACAGAGACACACACCCTTCCATCCCCCAGTGGCTGCTTTATACATTTTGATAGGAAAATGTCAGATTTGCATCTACAAATTGCTGTGACCATTCTTGGCTGCAGGCAAATTTGTGGATGATCTGAATCTTACTGTTCTTTGTTTGAAGCACTTCTCTTAGTATGCCTTTGAATGGATATCAAACTCTGAGTAATTCCCAAGCCTGATCTAGCAGGGTTGGTTAAACCTGATCTTGTAGGGTTTGGTGTGCAGAAATGAACAAGAATGTTAAACGTTTTAATTCTCAGTTAGCAGAAGTTTGTTCCTGGAGATGACATCTGCCAGCTAAACATGCAATCCTCTAAACTCAGCACATTCACATGTCTACCAACACATTTTTGGTATACCATAATGACATTTTGGATTGAGACAGAAGTCCTTATGTTTTTCTATATGTAAACCTCATCCATGAATCAAACCATACCAATTAAGTATATCTTCCAGAGAAAGCTTGTTCAGTTTTAAAACAACAAAAAATGAGAAATATAAGAATACTAAGTCTATAGCTGAATAACTTGTATCTGGTTAGACTAAAGGGGCCGATTGGCCTTTAGTACAGTTTTCTTGAAATGATCTATATACAGCACACATACAATAAAAATTACAAGCATTGAGGGCAATGGCAAATATCAAGGTTCCATTTTCAAGGTCTCAATGGTTATTTAATTGTTTGACAGTTCAGAGCAATTAAAAATTGTACATATGAGCAAGTACATCCATATTTTCCCATTATATCATCAAAGGCATTCATTAGCCATCTTCTTTGAGATCTTTCATTGTTAATGGACTTTCCGGTGAGTTTTGAAATAAGTTATTGGAGAATGTAGCTGTACACCACAATAATAAATAACATCAGTATCCTCATAACTGGAACTAAGTTACTAAATCTTGATGATGGCTGCATTTCTATCTTATCAGCATTTTGAAATCAAAGTGCAAGCATGTAGAAGAGATGGGAAAGTGGTTTGTGAGATGTGGCCACAAACTATTTTCACAGGAGCTTCATGCACACAAGCAGTTGGCCTTCAAAAATTGCTTTCCTTCACATAAATATAGGTACGATGGCAATGCCTGCATGATGTCACTGCATGCAATTCTTGCAAAGGCATACTTACCATTTAAAGTCTAGTTGGAATATTAATGTGATCCTGTTTGCCTCCTAAAATACTGGGCTGTCTCAACTGCAACTAATGAGAATTGTGGTAAAAATTCTGAAATAACCAACATTCTTATGAATTTGTTTTGGTATAACAGAAACCAAGACATTATGTGAACTATAGCTTCTTTCATGGAAACTAGCTTAAATATTAAATATTGATTATAAAAGAGGACTTGCTTTAATGCAAAACTCCCAAGAAGATTGCTGATCTAAAAAGATGATAGGAAATTATTAATATTTGAATAACATCTTCATGTGTTAGATGTACCATCTTCTTTTCTTGACTTAAATTCCCATAGCTTCTCTCTGAGCAAATTTGGTAAAGATTGTCCTTCTGCTACAGTATATATTTTGGACTTTGGGAAAGTAAAGCCTATCTCTCATCTGAACAAGTTACAAGGGTTTAAGAGGTGATCGTATATCTAGCCATTTCCTTCTGCTTGCTATATTGTCTGCTCCCCAAACCTTATTTCTGCCATATTTATATCTATATAATACATAATATAATTACACTTTTACATTTTATATGTAAACGTCATTAAAAAAAAACTAAAACAAATTAACAAATATTTATGCCATGTTTTCAATCCACATGTCAATCTTTTTCTGCATCAGCAATGAGTTCAATGGTCACATTTAATCCAAACTCCTTGGAGGCACTTAGGTGTAGTGTTGGAGAGATCCCTCCTGGTAACAGGGTTGTATAAGGTCAAGGAAACGTAGGGGAAAAAAAGGGATTTGAAGTACTAGGATGTATAGAGGTGTCTAGGTTGAACGGCATCTACAGTACATTGCTTTTTACAGAGCTGCAATAATTCAGGCATCTGCATCAGAAAGAAGCAATTGGTTAGTACAGTGGCCACATTTGGACTATAGTACAGATAAACTATGGGTTAAAGTTAAATTAACAGATAGGAATCTCATTTATTTCAATTGACCTAAAGTTCTATATAGATAATTGAGGGCTTAATTTCATTGAGACTATCCTAAAGAAGATAAAATTTGGGACACACATTTTAAACACAGTAATTCAGAAATACGAAACATTTTGCAAACTTTTTTTTGCCTCAACATCTTCCAAAGGAGACTTGGAGGACAAATAATCAGAATACAATAAAATGTGAAGAGTAAAAACAATTATATCTCAAGTATGTCAACAGATTAATATTTATCACATCTGCATCCTGACTTTGTCCAAGGCACTTAACATAGGTTTTTCCTTTCAACAATATAAATTAATCTTGTCCAAGGCTGCTTAAATAAGGTTTTCCAAATCTATTACTCTATATCAGTCTATATGACCTAATATCTTCCAGATTTGTTGAAATGCAATTTTCATAATTTTTAGGCAGCATGGTCGTCAAAACTATCACTCTTGCTGTTTATACTTTTTGAAACCTATTTCTGCAACTGATTTAGAAACACATTTGACTTTAATCAACATCTGCACAATAATGAATCACACATCTTTATGTCCTCTGAAAAACAGCCAAGCGTTATTTGCACTAGGGATAATTTTCCCGCTCTATCCATAGCCTGATACATACATCTGACCTAATCGCATTTAGTATATGGGAATACATGTTATAATACATAACTACATCTGCCAGTTATTACATGAAATCTGAGCCTAAATGTATATATTTATGTTATTCAACCATTAGAATATGTCTTTTCCAGGCCTCACAATGTACACAGTATATACTTTATTTTCTTTCCTCTCTAAATTGTCCTTTCTAGGTGAGGTATCATTCAATTATATATCTTCACTCTAAGGTGGAGTTGAGGATCTGACTCTGCGCCTGGATATTGTAAGAGTTTGGGTGGGGAAAGACAAGCTTAAATTCAATCCAAGCAAGGCAGAGTGACTGATTGGAAGCTGACAGATTCCAATAGAATTTCATCTTTTGACTTGGATGGGGTTGTGTTACTGAATAAGTCTACAATTGGGAGATTCTTTTGGACACTTGGTCCTCCTGTTAGAAGGAAGCATTAACAGGACAGCCTTTGCACATCTTTATGTCAGTTACAGCCAAATCTGGATCCATAGGTGTGATGGCCTTGTCACATCTTATTTGGATTACACCAGTTTGTTCTACCTTGGGCTGATCTTTGAAGTCCATTTCAAAACTGCAGGTCATCCAGAGTGCAGCAGCCCAAATAATAACAGACTCAGAGAAGTTTGCCCATGATATACCTCTCCTATGGGAAAATCACTAGTTGCCTGTTGGTTTCCAGGTGTAACTGAAAGTGCTGGCCATCTTTTTTGTTTAGGTAAATAGGTAACTCCAAGACCTCTAAGACATAATTTAGTGAATTCTGCTTATACAGTGCGATCTAGAAAAAGAGCTTGTTGTGGCTGTCAACTCCTATGTTGTTGTGGCTGTCAACTTCTTTGTAGTGGCCTCTACTAGTTTTCCAGAAAACCTGACTCTTCACTTAAAATGGAGTTAATGGAAAGTTTTGAGGAACTGATCCCATGAAGGAGAGGGGTGGTGGTGATGCCAATTATAGCCATTTTTTAAAATAATGATTTAGTATAATGTCATACTGATTATTGCACTGGAGAATTCTAAGCCATTAAATAAGTTTGACTGGAATAGTATATAATACCAATTAATTAATTAATTGATGCCTACATAAATAAACCAGTCCTACGTATTTATCCCATGTAGCCTATTAAGTTCTTAGAAGGCTTTGAACAGCAAAAAAGCATCCTCTCCTCCTGCATTACTAGCAGCCAATAAGAATTAGAATCAAAATCAGAATTTATCCTCAGTTGGAAAGGTGATCCAGAAATGAATAATCATTGTTGACCACAAATTAGGCAAATGTGTCACTGCAAAAGAGTCTTGACAAATCTAGCACTAAGGAATTCACATCAACTGTGTTACTGAACATGGTGGGGACTCTCTAAATATACATTTAGAAACCAAATAATGAGGATGTATATCAGAAGCAGACAATTCAACATTCTTCCTTCATATCCCCTCTCCAAGCTGTTTTCTTTCCAGAAATTGTCTAAGGAAACCAAAATGTTTGGAAACATATAATTACGATTGCAGTAATAATCTTAAATTTCAATTTACCTTTACATTCATATTTGAGGTCAGAGAAGTATACCATCTCTTGTGAAAAGACAAAAAGACCTAATCGTCCACCAGCATAAGTTGTATCATAGATCGGTCCAGAATCTGCCATTATCTGTTTTCCTTCATAGACTACAACCCTGTAAGGAGGGGAAAAAACATGGTCTAAGTGAGATGCAATATTTGAGATGATAATTCATCTTTTTAGAAATGCAAAATGTTTTGAATTGAAAACATCCCATTTAAAACAGGCCCATTTAAAACTTGGAAGACTTCTAGTATGGTCAGAGTTGGAAATCCAACTTTTTCAGAAAAAGGGTGTTGAACATAGAAGACAATAATTTGAGCATGAAATATTTTGAAATCAAAATGCTTTGCACACCATTGTTATCTAGCAATTTTACTTATTTGTTTATTTAAACATTTATTTCTTCTTTGCTTTAATTACGATATCAGTTAAATTATGCAAAGATATTGTTAGTATTCTTTTATAGGAAAAAATTCTTGTGGCAAGCATTAGACACACTGTATTAATAGTTATCCAATGAATTGATTTTAATACAATGTAAGGATGACAAATGTCTTTTTTGTTTCTTTCTGGCAGATGTAATGAATGTACACTACATAATCACACATCAGACTCTATAAAGTTTGTGTGCAGTATAGTATAATACACATTATAATAGATTTTGAATACTTTTTGCTTTTCAGTGGGAACAAGATTTGCAAAATTTGGGGGTGAAAAAACACAAAGCCCAGAAGGCATAGAGAAACACTAATTTACACAGGAGGTAAATTCATGTCATGATTTGCAAAGATTGAATTCTTTACATATCTGAAGACCAAAGGAATTTACACATAACTTAAACAAATACATGGGACAATAATTCCCGTGGCATAAATGTGTGAGGAATTGAATAGTGGGGACATGGGGAACAGATGGGGAACAGATGGGGAAATGCAGTAACAATTCCCAAGGGAATTAGTAGTAATAATAATAAATAGAACGTTTTTACATTTATATTTTATTAAAATATTTTTTCTGAATAAATGTTCTCCAGAGGATTTGATTACTTTAAAAAGCTATCTAAGGTTTCCTTAGTTACCCTATATTCATTTTAATTTTAAGAAAAGTGGAACCATCTTTTCTTTCAATCCTTCTTTTTTACTTTTATCATTTTTTTTCCTTCTTACCTTCTACCTAGAACAAGATTATTTTATAGTAAAACCATAACTTTCTAAGAGTTGGAGGAAAGTTATTTCTTTTCAACATTGTGATAATGTTTTCCTTTGTTTATATATGCCATTCAGAATAAATTGAACGTATCTGGTGAGATGGAAAAGTGAGAAAACAGGAATTCAAAATCCCCCAAAGGCTTCGACTATAAAAAGAAATAGCCTGCCCCAAATGAAGTGATAACTTTGGCATTTGCTTACAAAGGATTATAAAATGCTTTTTATGTTCAGATGGAAAAGCAATAGAATACATCAGAAGAAAATGTCATACTTTATTAATCCTGTCTTAGGTCTGTGGATCAAATGCCACCTGTAGGCAGTGTAATCTTTCCAGCCAATATTTTTGGGATCATGCCACAAGGTTTGCACCTGTAAAAAAGATAAAACACATAAAGCATACATTTGGAGAAAAAAGCTTTGCATGTATCATGCTATTGTTAATTGACGACATCTTATGGTATCTAAACTTTGATTAAGATGGGTTACATCCAATAAAGAACTGCCCATGCATAAATGAAGTTGGCTTTTATCCACTCATTATACTCTACTCATGAATAACACATTACAACTCATACCACCACACTTAAATACATGAAAGAGTTTCATGTAGAAAGTCCCCTCCTCTTTCATCCCAGAGCGCAGGATATAAAATGATTCATATAAATGATGGGAAACAGATTCCAACTGAATGTTAGAAAATAAAAAAACTTTCACAATAAGATAGTTTGGTAATAGAACCAGTCCTGCAGGAAGATGAGGGACTTCCCTACACTATATGTATTTAAGTGAAAGGTAGACAACCATTAGCTAGGGATGCTTTAATTTGAATTCCTGACCTCAGTTGGAAGTTGCATTTGATGGCCTCAATGATCCTTTCTGATTTTGTAATTCTATAGACCTATTCTATGTCTCTTGGAGTTTTTCACCTTTCTGATACTATTATAACTTAGCCAGGTGTTGCTCTGATAGAGAAAGGATGAGAAGAGGAGCTGATAGGAGGAGCTATAGGAGGAGACTAGCATAGCATATATATTCTAAAGAACTTAGTTCTATGTAGAGCAGGGGTGTCAAACTGGATTTCATTGAGGGCCACATCAGCATTGTTTTTTACCTCAGGAGATGGGGTGGAGATGGCCAGCTATATGTCACTCATGTAAGGGGTGCCTGTGGAGGCCCGAGAACTCTGCCAGCAAAAATGGGCTGTTTCCAGGGTGGCCTGCAGATCAGATCTAAGCCCCCTATGGGCCAGATCTGGGCCCCGGGCCTTGAGTTTGACACTCCTGATGTAGCGCAATTGGCTGTGATTCACTGATACGAGAGGAGTAACCAGCTGTATGCAGGGACTGAGTACTGTGTAATTCTAATTGATATAAACACTAAAACTGGGCCTAGTTTGGGTCAAGCAAACAAATACAACTTGGTTGGACAATGCATATCTTCAATACTGAATTGTCACAGCTTTAAGCGAAGCATCCCTCAGAAAGTGAAATGGAGATGTAACACTCCACTTCTGTTCAGCAGAGAAGTCACACTATTCCGACTGATAGCAAGGATTTCTTTACATGCTGTTAGCAAAACAGCTGCTCAAAGCAAATAAAGCTCACTTCAACGCTTTCTTAACTCCCCTCCCTAAAATGCCACCAATCTGCCCAGATCTAACCTCTGGAGTCCTTAATAATGAAAAATGAGCAATAAATTATAATCAGCCTGAACCCTATTCACAGCATTTTTAGCACTTTATTGCTTAAACCTTACATGAAGAGTTAGTCTTGACATGTATGCTACCCTGACTTTTCAGTGTGAGTTTTAAACCCTGAGGCCACTTATAATTAAAATAGACATGAGACAGGTTAGAATGATAATAAACAAGGTTAAAATAATATGGTCAATAACAGCTGCTGTAGAAGGGAAAGAAAAGTTCAATACATACCAGAATCTGTAACTCATTCTTAACATTTGTGCACTAATCATAGAATTTGAACATGGGAGGGTTCCGTTGAAATTAAATGGGGGCAGGGGAAGTACAAGATACCATAAATCCATGATAACTTTGAGCTGACAACATATTGGCAAGGGGACTTTTCAACTAGTTACCTGTCCAGGTGTATTTCCTGTGTGCCAAAGAGCATTTCTCAAATGTTCACCAGTACCAGTTGTGGAATTCACCACCTTAAGGGACACCCCTGAGTATCCATAAGCTCTGGTTGGCTTATTTTCCCAGTATGTCTGAGTGACTTGCTTCCACATCAGGACATAGAAGCGACTGCTAGACTGGTAACCAAAGACAAATCCAGCATAATCATCATCTCGGTCTGTGTTGACATAGAATGTGCCACTGAAGTCAACAGAACTGAATTCATCATAGCCTGAAGCAGGATGGAAAAGAAATGCTTAGTCATCACAGGCATTGTTTTAATTTCACACATCTATTGTCAACATTATTTGGTTTGATACATTCATTTGTTTTGGAATCAAGTCAATATTATTTATCAAATTAATATAGCCATCCATTCATCTATTGAAGATGAGTCTGAGCAGTGCACAATAGATTTAAAAATATAAAAACACTGAACACAAATATAAAAAGCCATAGTAACGAATATTTAACAAAAAAAAAAACCAAATAAAGAATTAAAAAATTGTTCCTTCAATAATGAAGTTATCTAGTCATGTTTTTGGCTCCATGGGTGGCCCAGGCCTGGTCACACAATGGGCCGGTTGGGGGGGGGGGCTTCCAGAATATCAAAAGGAGCAATCTAATTTTGAGGGGGAAGGATGTTCCACAAAGCGGGCATCATGACAGAGGTAGGTACATCTTCTGGGACCCATCAAATGTAAACCCCTGGCTGATGGTACTTGTGCATGCCTATTCTGCAAGATCTAATAAGGCAGGCTGAAATGCAGCCCTTCAGATTATTAGTCTTTCATCTTAGTATTTTGGTTCTTGGCTTTCCTCATTACTTATCTTTTCTCTTGATTTAACTATCATATTTGCTTTTGTGTGAAACATCTAAGGCAACAACCTTCATATTTTGACCTACTGATGTATGCCATGTGCAATTGTCCTCAGAAATAGTTTGAGGAAACAGAATGGCTCAGGGTGGCACTGAATGAGGGCATTGATCTATAAATTCTGTCTGTCTGCAAGATACCAGTTCCTGTTGATATTGACATTAATCGATAAAGGCCCAAATGATTCTTCAGTATTTAAAGTATTACTGCCATAAATACAATTCAGCCCATGGATTAAGATCAGTTGGGCAAATACTATTTGTTGTTCTATCAATTCACAATATGTCTACTAGGAATTGCACAATTCGCTATAGACATATATAGACTTATGCATGTCTATAGGAAATTACTGTAGTAATTATGAATCTCGGGTAAATAGCTACATGATATTAGCCTTAAATTCTTTACCATTCTAATCTTGATTGAATAAATGAGATACAATCTGGGATGGAGTAATTTTTATTGCTTTTAATGTGAACACAGAATATCAATGCATGCATGGCCTCATGACTTTTAGAAGAAAAGTAATCAATACTAGGTAACCTTTAATTTTCTATCTTTGATTATTTTAAAAAAATGAAGAGATTGGGGAAGATGTTCCACAACCAGAAATACTAAATTTCAAACACATTATTAAATTGAATGTAAAATTTTCTTTCCTAGTTCACAGAGTTTGCAATGTATATTTGCTCTAATAATAAATGACATTACTTCAGAGAAATATGTCATAAATTATGTTGGGATTCTGAATTTTGATTATGTAATCAATAGTTTCCAATTCCGATGAAATAATCCAGGGGAATCTCAAAAGCGCTTCTTCTTGATATAGCAATGAGAAACAAAATCTAAAAATATCACAGGATACTTGGAAAACCTTATGAATAAATAACAGTTGTGATCAATATATTCTGAATATAGTTCACTCAGAAAGTATTCTGATACTCACCAACAGCTATGCCAGGATCTGAATTAGCGGTCTGAACCAATTCCTTGCCCTGATGGCGAATTACCCAATTTGGATCAATCTGAGCTGTTCCTTTAGGATCCAGGGGTACCATTTGAAACTTTCTGAAATCTGTTTCACTAATGGCATCATTTTCAGGACATGCATCAAAAATATCTGGGACACTATCATTGTCAAAATCATCTTTGCAGATGTCGCCTCGGCCATCACCTGAATTGTACAAATTTTTAAAAGATCACATAACAACGGCTTTTGTTTTCTATGTGTGAAGTTAGAAATGCTGATTAGTACTGAATAATACAGTGCAACAAATTCAACAGCTGTACTACTCCTAAAAAAATAAAAACAATTATTAGTGAATGTTTAACAATTACTGTTAAAATAATATCAAAATCATCTTTACACTGTAATAAGTGAAAGATTGGAGTGCAGTGGCCCACAATATTAGGACACTGGTTTAGAGATGTAAGAAGCCCATGTTTAAGATCTGAGAATAATTGCAATACCACAAACACATATAAACTATAATATGAGCTGGTTGAGGGGGGGGATGAATCATTTGTACCCTAAGAAATCCTCAGTACAACAGAACTTGATATTTAAAAAGTGCTTTGAGATTTTATTTTAATTTTTTCTCTGTGTCATCAAATGCATTTAGCAATGTTTTGCTATGACTACTTAAGACTGTGGCAATGCATTTTTTGTCCCATCTGTATTAAATGAGTGAAGAAGGCAGTAAAGTAAATCATATAAAAATAGCTTTGGCCACTCTTTCTTTCTTTATGTGGGAAACTTGTTTATTTCATAAAAATAGCAGTGATAAGCTAAAAGTGAAATAGACATTCCTTAAAGCTTTGGATTATGACTATATTGAAATTGTGGTTGATGAATGGGGCATTCAAGGATAAACTCACTCAAGAGAATAGAGTCCACCACCATCCTCCCAAATCATGTATACACAAAGATTGACTAGTGGCATTATGGTAAATAGTTGAAAAGCTCAGTCTCATAATGGAATACTTATAAAGGTTTGAGTTAGTTTTTGAGGTTAAAAAACAATAAGCATTAAAATAAATGCCAAAATCCAAAACAAAAAAATATCAACAAGACTTCTGAGTTCCTGCACTGAAAAACAACTGATAAATTGTTCATCCATTCCACAAATCTATTATTATGAATGCACACCTATAGGTAGTTTAACTTTTCATTCCAAAGCTGTGCTAACCATGTTAGATTTATATAAAGATTCCTTAACTCTCTGACTTCTGATGTTTCACCAAGTATCTTCAATACATTAAACATGTTTGTTGCAATCATGGGAGCTAGTCCTCCCTGCAAGGGTGGGTTCTGGCTGCTGCTCTTGCCAGTTTGCTCAGGGACATGCTGTATGCCCGCATGCACAATACTAAAAAAATGCTTCTGCGCATGTACAGAACCAAAAAACAAGATGGTAGCACCTATGGTGCCGCCGAGAGACCTGGTTCAGGGGTGTGGCATGCTTAGTTACTACCTACTCTGCCAAACCGGGCCGAACCAATAGGAACCCATTTCCCTCTCTCCCTCTCTCCCTCTCTCCCTCTCTCCCTCTCTCCCTAGCAATAGCAGTTAGACTTATATACTGCTTCATAGGGCTTTCAGCCCTCTCTAAGCGGTTTACAGAGTCAGCATATTGCCCCCAACAACAATCTGGGATCTCTCTCCCCCTCTCTCTAGCTATTTCTGAACTAATTATCACACATTTTTAGGAATATACATAAATATTTATCAGCAGGAACTTGGCCATGGAATATCAAAAAAGTTTTTTAAAAAGATATATATAGATAGATAGCAGGAATCAAGTTTTTCATAGTTCATTTTATGAGAAAATGGCCTCGCAGTCCACTGACTGGCTGCTGTCCATGTTGAATTCCAAATACTGACCAGCTGTAAACCTGTTTATCTTAACACTTAAGGGGGTAAGTCTATGTCTCCAGTTGTATTCTCTCTGGTAACTTCAAAGAAATGACTTCTTTGTCCAAGTGAGGTTTTAATTATTTGGTTCATATGTTGCCTAAATTTTTTGCAGCACTGATTGCTGCTGACAAGACTACTAATCCTTCAGAAATTTACAAATGCATCTTATCCTGTTTTTCAACTAAGCCTGCTAGTTGAACAACAGTTCCTCGGGTGACAGAACAAACAGTTCTAACAGTAGGGGCCTTGGCAATCAAGTATTAATGATTCAGCTTACTCTGCAGGCGATCCTTGGTCATAGAACAGTTGACCACCTACCAGTTTGAATGATAGGTGAAACCTGGATTTCTGGGTACTATAGCGACTTCTACGTAATGATTAGGATGGGGGTCTCCAAACTTGGCAACTTGAAGATCTGTGTGCATATCAACTTCCAGAATGGAGCTGAAGTCCACAAATCTTAAAGTGGCCAGGTTTGGAGATTCCTGGATTAGGATATCAGACTAGTATTACGGAGTACAAATTTTGCCTCAGCTTCAATGGCTGGTAAATTTGAGTTGGCAAGGTAAACATTAAAAAATGTATTGTTTCTTTCTGCCTTAGTCCAGTTTGGGAACTGGCTTCATATGAATTAAAACCTTTATACAAAGATTGCCACAGTCAGAATTATCCTTCGAAAGTGAAGTATGATTCTTAGTTGCTTTTCTTTAGTGCAGACTTTGTCTCAAGATTCAGTTCTTTTCAGGTGGCAAATTCTGATTTTCTTTCTTTTTTCCACTCAGGATAAGCAACATACGTATAAGATTCCGTATATCCACAACCCCAATAGAATACAATTATAATCTAGCAACAATAAAGCAATAATTGCAACATTATTTTTTATTGCCACTAAGTAAATGTACCAGTGTTAATGTTTTAAGCTTCAGGACATCTTTAGAAGGAGACCCCACATGAATTCTCCAAGCAGGTCAGTTGCAAAAATACTAAACAGATTCATTTCAAATATAACAACTCAACATTTGTAGAGTTTCTCTTCCTGACTAGGGGAATCTGGGAATTATAGCACAACCCATTTGGAGATCACTAGATTAAAGAAAGCCAGTGTCTAGTATTATTCAGACACCCAAAACAGAGACTCTATGTTTAAGATACTAGAAGTGACTATTATATATGTGAGGGGTGTCAAGCTCAAGGCCCGTGGGCTAGATCTGGCCTGCGGGGTGCTTAGATCTGGCCCACAAGGCTGCCCTGGAAACAACAAAGCACTGGCTCATGGTGCCTCTGCCAGCAAAAATGGAGCTCAGAAGGGCCACGTGCAACCTTCACGAGCTCCATTTTCACTGGCAAAGAGTTGCAGGAAGCCGTTGCAGCTGGCAGAGTGCTCAGGCTGCCCTGACACAAGTGACGTTGAGTTGTCCACGTTCACTCCAGCCCCCCTGAGGTCAAACACAACCCTGATGTGACCCTCAATCAAATTGAGTTTGACACCCCTGGTGTATATATATGCACATTGGTTTGTGGTGTCAGGCCTGTAGTCATATTTTCTTGTGGATCTCTGATCTCTGATTTATTTTTGGATGCTATTTGGAACCCTGACGTGTGGTTTGTTTTTTTAAATAGGTTTTGTTGCAATAATCTTACCATCAGAATCCTTCTGGTCAGGGTTGAAGGTAAGTCGACAATTGTCTCTGTCATCTGGGATACCATCATTATCATCGTCAGGATCGCAGGCATCCCCTTTGCCATCCTTGTCATGATCAGCCTGGTTAGCATTGGAAATGTAAGGGCAGTTGTCTTTATTATTCTGATGGCCATCATCATCGATGTCTTCATTGTTGTCACACTGGTCACCAACCAAATCATTGTCCACATCAGTCTAAGGAGGAAAATGGATAAGAAGTGTTTGCAATAAAAAATAAAAACAAAACAAAATCCATGGCATCAGAGAGCTAATAGCCTCCTTAAAAACATCTATTTATGGCAAGGCATACAGACAGACAGACAGACATATCATGTATACATTCTAATTCGGAATACATGAGATACCACCAGATCATGAGGCAGAATGTAACAATTTGAAGTAGCTTTTCATTTACCTAATGCGGGATAGATTGATATGAACCTTCCTCATTCAAATTCTTGACCCCTGCAGAATTTGCAGAACCATAAGGTTCTTTGCTGAGAAATAACATGGATGCGTATATAACCATTAGCAATAGCACTTAAACTTATATGCTGCTTCATGGTACTTCACCATCCTGTCTGAGGGGTTTACAGAATCAGCACATTGCTCCAGCCATCTAGGTCCTCATTTTACTGACCTTCGAAAGATGGAAGGCTGAGTCAACCTTGAGCCGGTCAGGATTGAACTCCTGGCAGTGGAAATGCAGAGTTTAGCCTGCAATACTGCATTCTAAACATTGTACCACCACATCTCCTTGACACCATTAGGAGTCAAGCTCAACTAAATATTTCCCTGTAATTGTCACCCGGTCCTAATTTTGCTAGCAACGAACCTTTCTTACATCTGCTATGATTAGGTAATCATTTGACATTTCCCCAAAGTATCTACTAAGAGCACCAGGAGCTGAAAAAGCATGTCAGTGAAACTGGAAAGGACTTTGCCTTCAACCATTCTGGATCTGGGCTTCATTCCCTTTGCAAGATCTTACAAATGAGAGAAACTGTGCTGCATGCATGCTCCTGTGAACAATCTCTCTTGTCTGGGCAATGTTCTTAAGATATGAAAGGATATTGCTCTGAATAATGTTCCCTTGAAAGAAAAAATACAGGAAGCCTCGGGCAATAACTTTATACAATTAGAAATTCCAGCTCATATGCTGAAATCAAAGGTAGATATTCTGAGTCGGATCTTTGAAAACTTGAAAGCTGCTCTTTAATAATGCAGCCATTTAGCTCATCTCCAACATACCACTTGTTGATGATTATATTTGCTTTTAATATAGACCTGTGGCCTGTTATTGAAAAGAATAGTTTTAATTCTATATAAAATGAGCAATTTTCCTTTCCAAATAAAATCATGAATAAGTAGAACAAAGCACCACTGAGACAAGGTGATAAAGACCATTGTGCTCTGGCACCCATGTTACCAATTTTAAAATTCCTGGTGAGACAATTTTTTTTAAAAAAGCACTCTCCAGCTCCCTCCACATGCAATTAATTTCACTACTACTCATAGAAATGTCATAGTCTCCCCAGTCTTCCTTGTATTAACCCAGGTTTTGTTAAGAAGTTGCTCAAAGGAATACTGCACAGCCAAATGCTTGAGCAAACTGCCTGAACATCGTTTAAATTTGCCACCTTTTTATTTGCCACAGACATTTTATGTTCCTTGTGAACAAGCTTCTCTTCTGCTCTTCTGCCCCTAAAAGGAACAGTTGCCATCATGCAAATTAGACAGTATCATGAGCTTTGCCTCCACAGTTTCTGTAGCGAGATAAAAACAGCAGATGGCAGGAGAAACTTTAGGGGTACATAAACAGAACAGGGTCTGTTTAATGCTTAGGATTGTCTGGATGTCTCATATGTTGCTTGGGGTTCACAATAGCAGAAATAAGGCATGTACACATGTGTGTGTGTGTGGTATATATGTGTGTGTGTGTATCAGTGGTGGGATTCAAATAATTTTACAACCGGTTCTCTGCTCTAATAGTTTCTTCCAACAATCAGTTTACCAAACTGTTCAGAAAGTTAACAACCAGTTCTCCCGAAGTGGTGTGAACTGGCTGAATCCCACCACTGGTGTGTATATACATATGTCTGTGTGTCCCTGTGTATACACAAACATACTATCTATTTATCTAGATCTATCGATCTAGATCTGTCTATTAATCTAGAGATAAAGATAGAGAGATACATACATACATGTAGAGATATGGAAATACAGATAGAAATCAATATAGAGATTGAGAGATAGAGGTAAATAGATATATGTATAGATATATTAGTGCAAGATCAGAAGATGTGGAGAGATCTGGCCCATAGAATCACCAAGATTTTGACATGACTAAATGGATAACATCATCATCATATAGATATATAAACAAACTTGAATTTATGATCATACCTTTATTGCCATAGAAATTAATCTCTAGTATGAAGATGGTTGTGTGGTTTTTTTTATTACCAACAAAATTTATTAATTCCCTTCAGTTGATTATTTTTCCTATTTCCTGAAAGAATTTTCTCCAGTATGTTGAAAAAGGGAAATGGGGGAATACAAGCACCTCTAAAACAACCAGCAATATTACCATGCTTTTGTCAGCAACTTGCAAATTTGGATTTAGGAAAAAATGCCAAAACAATGAAAAGAAAGTATAATTCAAATTTCTAAAATCACGGTCACATCTTCCCTTTCTATGTTGAAGAAGTACATCATTTTACCTGATCTGGATTGTGTACCAGGGGACAATTATCACAATGATCACCAACTCCATCTCTATCTGTATCTCTCTGGTCTGTGTTATAGACATATGGGCAGTTATCACGATCATTGAAAACATCTGCCAGGATGAAAAAGCAATACAAATGAAGCCAGATGTTCTGATTCCAGTCAAAACAACACTTTTTTCAAGAGTTAGTACAGGAATGGAGGATTTTTTTTACCCCATTTTACCCTTTACCCTAAGTCTGAATGAAGGATGGTCAAAGGAGAGTGATTAGCCTGAGATTCTCCCATATGTTTCATAGCCCATGGGTCACTCTGGACTCAAGGCATGCAGAATATATTGAACAGATCTTGGTGCTGCATAAATAAATATGACTAGATTAAATGGTTCAGGCTAGGTCTTATCTTAGGTGTCAATTTGTTCTTCATAGTAGCCTGCAAGATGAAGATGCAGGTCCACCCTCTTGAACTGGTTTTCTGTTACAACTGGTATTTGAAGGCGTGTTGTGACTAGCCCAGATGTAACAGTGAACCTTCCAAACTTAGAGACATCTACCCCATCCAGATGTCTATGGGAGTGGTGAAATATGCACTGGGACATTGAGTTGCAAGAATGAAAAATCAGTTTTTATCATTTTAGTCAATAGCATCTTCATATACCTCCAGTTTTAAACTCTAGTAGCCATCATCTGTCTTGTAACATTGAAATCCACAGGTCAATTCAGATTCTGAACCAAACAGTTCAATATCTATTGCAGTCTCCTTTGTCTGGCAAAGAAGATGTGTTTGCTTTGTCATGCTTTCCCTAAATTACAGCCCTTTTTCAAAACAAAACATTACATTATACATATCACCTATAGGATTGTCTTTTCTGGTTCCAAGCTGATCAAATATCTTCAAGATATCACATCACTGAGTCATCTTTTGGGTTAGTCCTAAAATGTTCTATTTCTCCTACACATAATATTTGCATGTTATACTACTTAAGAACAGAGCCAAATAATTTTGTGCCAATGGCATTGATCAATTCAAGGTACCAATTTTGAAAAGACTCTCTATGTTTTCATGAGGGATCAAAACTCAGTGGTAGCAAATCATCAGGTATCTTCCCAAATTCCTACCGGGCCAGTTTTTGATGAAAACAAGATGTAAAACAGATTTGCATGACCTACATTAGGGTTTTGGGGTGGTTTTTTTGTGACAACCATCATTTGTAAACTCAGGAATCTGAACCAGAATATGAACCTGAAGATAAATCCTTTTATATACACTGTTCTATTTTTACCAGAAACATATTTTATTTCAGCAGATAATTTATAAAAGACTCATTGTAAAACTATTGAGTCTGAAATCCTTCCTGATTTACTACGAATCAGATATGCCCATTCTTGAATGTTAAAGTATTCCTTGAAAAGGGAATTATGAGATATACTTCCAGAAAAATAATGAGAGTTGATAGGTTTTTCCTGTATACTTCAGTTATATTTCAATTTCTGTTGTTTTTTCTTGCAACTCTGCCAGAATATCAACCAAGAAATAAGCCCAATCATTAAGGTAAACATTAAGCTATGGGAAGCTTTCAAATTTCTGCTGATATACATATCCAATATGCATATAAGACACGTTCACTGAATCAAATCCAAGGCTTAACAGGTTATCTCCTCTGCTCCCTAATCTTGCCCAAACTGAAAACTGAGATTCAGCTGCCAAGAAATGCTACAACAACATCCTTAGGACATTAATGTTTCAGGCTGAGACTCAGGCCAAAATGCATAAACCCAAAGGCATTGAAAAACTATCAAAGCTATTTGGGTTGGTAGATTTTTCAAGGCTGGGCTACTGTTCAGGTTATATTTGCCAGTTTAATAATGTTAAATATCACCATTGATTTTTCTCTCCCTTTCAGCCAAACATGTAATTTACGATCCTTATTATTCTAAGATTTAAAATAATTTCCTTTCTTTTCTCCAGGCATTTTGGCAAGCACTTCAGCTGAAGACATTTATTTGACTGGCACATCAAATATGGCTTTTCATGCAAGTGTATTCTGCATAAATATTTTAATTTCTTTAATTTCTTGTGAACTGCCACAGAATATTATTGGATGATCTACAAAAACATATGAAATAACTTTAAAAATAGTAATTATACTTTCTTTCCTTATTAAGTTTAGATATCAAGTGAGTGTGATAGTATTAGAAAATATACTTTTGTACATAGCTTTTGTCCAGAAGGAGTTGCTTAACTGACCTATTTAGCCTATATTATTTCAGAGTATCTTGGAAAACCTGATGAAGTGTCATCAAGTATTATATAATCATTGGTCCAATAAATATCACCATTACCCATTGTTTCTGGGGATATTGCCAAAAGATCTTACCTCATCGATTCATGGAAACTTTGATCGAAAATATAGCCTTCCATAGATATACAGCCCTTCACCCCCCCATTGATAAAACCAATATGAATTTATCATGATTTTGGTTAGTTCCAGCCAAAGCATTTATTGTTGCTGGCAATATTTGCCCTTTCAGTTAGAAAAAGGATGGGCAAAAACCAAAGATAGAAGGATGTTAGCATATGAACAGTGAATAAAATAAATGTGAATATAATTCATTTCTGGATTGCAGCCATTCGTTGCACATTGGCTCTACAATCAGAAATGGATGGGTATAAGTACTTGAATTACAGATGTTTCCAGAAATATATCTTTATATGGAATGCGAGTTAATCTAGACTACTTTCTAGAAAGAAAATGGAAGAGAGTAAATAGGAGCATACCATCTCCATCAATATCTACTGCACACGCATCTCCCTCTCCATTATGATCGGTGTCAATCTGAGCAGGATTGTGCACATATGGACAGTTATCACAACGATCACCAACTTCATCCTTATCATAATCAGATTGCCGGGGATTAAACAGAAGTGGGCAATTGTCCTAAAAGAAGAAGCAAGATTATAGAATAAGCATGGGAGTTCAGATCAAGTTTGGAAGAAATATTTCATTTTTCTCTGAACCAAATAATATGCCCTAACATATTACACTCCAATGGTTAAAAAAAATAATTGTGAAAACTCTTTTCTAGATGGCACCATCCTCCATGAAATTACAAACAGCTACTTTATTTACTTTTGTAATTAAAAGAGATACAGGACTTCTCTAAATGTCCCTGCTCCCTTCCCATCCATGAAATAGCCTTTCTTGAAAGATCTGACAATTTTGTTGCATATACCTGTTGGTTGACATGTGATAGAACTTTTATACCTAGCTTTTAAGGATTTTCCATTTATAATAATTAGAAAACATTCCTAGGCCTATGTCAGTTTGGTGTATATGAAATTAATGAATGATTAATTTGCAAGAGATCTCATTCTATGCTATATTTATGACAAGAACTGTATCTATTATACTTCTTATAGAAATAAACCTATTAAATTGTCCTAGGTGACATTAGCCAACTGTCATTGTCCACCAAGAATCACTTTGATAGTGAGATAGGTGTCATATAAATTTAACAAATAAATAAATAAATCATTTTAATAGTCCCAGATGTAATATGCATGAAATAATCAAAAAATGGCAGAAATTAATTCTGAATTAGGACAATTGTATTACATATGGAATATGTAAATTCATTAATATCAATAAAGAAAAAATATCATAGAAAACTCAGAGAAACTAAACATGTATTGATAGTTTCCACATTTATTTTTCCTGAAAGAAAAATGAAGTTTAATGTAGCTTACTTTATCATCCTCTACACCATCATTGTCATCATCTTCATCACAAGCATCACCTTTTCCATCCTTGTCAAAATCTTCTTGTCCAGAATTTGGCAGGAAAGGACAATTATCCTGTATAAACAAAGATCTTGGATTAGTACATATTTTAATTTCAGAGACAGATAATAATCCCACACTGTGGACAATAAAAGACTTGGATGTTCAACCAGAAGTTCTGAACACATTTCTAAAGTTATAACAGTTAAAGAGATATAAGTATTTAGTCTTTTTGTAAACTTTCAAGCACTAAGAAAAAACAGCCATGGTTGCGTTAAATAATATTGCTAAATTGTCATATCAAATGACGTCTACCACCTGATGTTTCTGGTAGATTGTCAAAGGGAAGCCATTTAAATTTTGATTAAATCTAGTTATGGACTGAGCTGTTCGGAAGGATATCTTCTTAAATAATTTAGACATTACATTTATGTCTTCCAAATAGACTATCCTAATTAGCTAAACTATGCTAATGAAAAGAACTGCTCCCCCAACCTGCAGCCAAGAAGGCTCCACACCCAACTGCACTATGTGACACTGATAAATCTCCAAATGTTTTAACAGCTCTCTAAGAGGATACAAATGACCAGCTGTCTGCAAGGAATATAAATCCTTCCATTCCCCACCATTCAATCAAAGAAGCTTCTTGGATGAGAAGTAAAACATCTTCAAAGAAAAAACAAGACAGTCCAGTTACCTCCTGAAAAAGCACCTTTGGGACAACCATGACCTGGATGACTGAGAGTCTCCATACACATTAGAGAAATATATCATTTATGTACTTTCTATCCATGGTGGCCTAACAAATAGTAAAAGAGTAATAATTCCAAATTCAGAACTGTAGTGAAATGATAACTGAAGCTTTAATAAAGCTTGATAAAGTCACTGTGATAAAGCCAGGTGTCTGGAAGACCATTTAAAAATATAACATCCCATTTTCAGCTTAGACATTGAGAACCTCTCTACTTCATATGTTTTACCTTCATGCAGTGATAAGTAGCATTGGCAGCACAGACCAGGTTACTGTTGGGCCATCCATCCAAGTCAGAGTCCTCCCCACAGATGAATCCATCACCAGCATAGCCTGTCCTACATTCACACTTGTACACAGGGTCGGTGAAATGTCCCAGGTAGATGCACTCAGCTGAACTGTGGCAGCTGTGTGTCTTATCTTTGCAAGGGTTGGAGGGCTCACATACCTGAAAAGCATATCATTATGCAAATAGGTCACCCAAAGCTCCTGATTAACAGAACAGCAAAGAAACAGACGCTTTAATTTCCCACCAGTTGTTGAGCCCTGAGCACATGTTTTGTAGCTGGATCCAGATATAATCATCTTTCATTAAAAACTTGGGAAAGACCCAAGCAACATTTGATTGTGGAGTTAGTAAGCTAAGTGCTGCTGTCAATGTAGCAATTAAGAATAAGCCTTTCTTTAAGTAAAGCATAGCCTTAAGTCGAATGACATTCTTTCACAAGATTATCTCTCACATCTGCAGACTTCTGGATGTAATTAAACAATATAAAATTTACTGTGAGGCAAGAACATTCAGCCCTATCTATTTCCTTTGTAATTTCAGGAAGATAAAGAAAAAGAAAGAAAGAAATTCTGGAAGGGGGAATGGCAAGCTCTTTCCAAGCCATTGCCAAAAGCGTTGCTTAGGCATGTCCATGAAGTCACCAGAACTGATGGTGACATTCACTTTTTTTTAGCAGGCAACGAACAAATAAATTCCTTTTTAAAGATCCCATAGACACAGCTAATAGACAGCAATTTCCTTTGAATGAGTCACAGCTGCTGTTTCTACTTTGTTATTGGCTTTCAATATAACTTTGATATCATACTTTTAATTTTACTTTTACATTTAGACTCCATAAACTATATAAGTTAGAAAATGGAAAATGACTGAATAAAATCCAAGTTAACAAAAATCTGAAAAAAGTCTGGCTTTTTAGAAAATGGAGAGATCTTTCAGAAAAGTATCTGGCTATGTCAAACAGCTTCACAAAATGGGCCTTAGAAGACAGGATAATTCTTGACAAAAATATATAATGTATACTCTAATGGTGAGAAACCAGAGCTTTTACTTTTTTCTTTAGTCAATTTGGCATATTGCTACTTTTGGATATGTTTGTGCAGGCACCAGGAACCAAGCTCGGCCGAATGGAAACTATTTTCTTTAATTCAGTATTTCTCAACTTTAGCAAATTTAAGTTGTAATGGCTTCAACTCTCAGAATTCTTTAAAAAGTGGCTAAGGTAGAGAAACATTGCTTTAATCTACTTCTAAGACCCAATATTTTAATCCATCCTTTCTATATGAATGCTTGTGGGAACTGGGTAAATTTAATTGAACAAAGAGAGGGACTGTGTGTGTGTGTGACATGATAGGAGCCTTCCAAAATATTGGGTCTTGGGAAGGCTGTCACAAAGAAGAGAGGGTTGACTTATTCTCTAGAGGACAGGAGAAGAAGCTTATCAAAGAGAAAGCCAACCTAAAATTAAGAAGAAAGGATGGAAAAGGTGATGCTTGTCAATTAACCTGTGGGAGAGCTTGCCTCCAGAAGTGCTCCACTCTCCACCACTGGATATTTTTAAGAACAGATTTGTCAGCCATTCTTTTAATTCTTTTCTAGAACAACAAGACTTCTAGAATGAATACCTGTGCCCTATCTTCTAACACTTACTTGTTTTTCTGTTCTGGCAGCCTCTAGGCCCACCCCGTAGGGTTGAGTTCCTCTGTAGCGGGGAGGGCACGGTAAGCAGTGGAATCCTGGATTGGTGTTTACACATCGATGGTTCTGATTGAACTTAAAGCAAACATCTGGCACTACAGCACACTGCCCCAGGGGGAGAAAAGTGCAAAAAGAAATGGTAAGTTTTTTTGAGCAGACAAATAACAATAATGAAAATCTGTGTTCCCTAGGTGGAATCCAAGTAATTCACACACACACTGAAACTCATGTACCTCATCAAGGTCCTCACAGAATGTTCCATTTCCCAGATAACCAGCCGGACATGCACCGCAGGACCATGAGCCATCTGGATAGCTGTTGCATTCTGCTCCAGGAAAGCAAGGATTGGATAAACAGCCATCTGTCAAAAAAACAATAAAAAGCATTGCTATGACAGAAGTAAAAGGGAATTCAAAAATAATGCTTCTGAAGAAGTAGCTTCCCCTCCTCTCTGCAATATCTGAGGTAACCTCAAAGCCTCAGAATAGCCTCTAAATCTCTTTTGCGTTCTATATTAGCCGCAGCATTGATTCCTACTGGTATGTGAAAAAAGTTTTACATTTTAAATGTTTTGAGTTCAACAAAAAGGTTGATCTGACCTTGTGAGAAGTATGTGGACATTAATAACTATATTCCAAACATTATTGAAGTCAAAACAGATGTTTTAAAGCTGGAAAATAGGCTGATTCAAGCTTAGAACATTTCTGGGGTGGTCAAGATAGTCATGGAACACTTCCACTAAAGTCAGAACAGCTGCTACAAGCTCAAATATTTTGAATCTGGAAATTGAATTAGATTAGATTCTATTCTAAATTTCCCTGGATGAAGCAGAAAAAAAATTGGGAGAAAAATAACAGTTTGGCCTTTTCTTTTATTTCCCTTTAGGTTTCATAATTACAAATAGTAGGTTGCCTTAAAAAGAAAATCAAAATACCTACTAAGTTCAAATGAATCAATGTCATTATAAATCTCAAGATTTGATTGTTTATTTAAAAACAAATTGTTCAGTCATTTAAAAATTGATATTATGTACTTGCTGTGGTCTACAAATATGCCAAACTTCAGCCAATATGATAAAATTTAAATATGCTGAAAATGTTAATATTTTTACTCTAATTTTTTTATAATTTTCCACTGATGTACTCTTACTTGTCAAAGAAAATGTTTCTTTGTTAATCCAATAAAGCTGTATGAACAGTTCATAGATTACTTGGTTTTTCTTTTTCTACTAAGATCCAGGGCAGCAATGCTAAACACTGCATATACTGTACAATGTAAAAGGAATCATTTAGATTCAGGTCAAGGGTGGGTTTTGGCCAGCTTTACTGCTGGTTCGTTGGATGCATGCTTCGCGCGCATGCGCAGTTCAACAAGATGGCAGCAATGATGACAGCAACCAGAATCACTTTGGAGGCATGGCAGGCCTGGGTCGCTGCCAATTCCTGTGACCCAGCCCACCATACCACTACCAGTTTGGCCGAACCGGGCCGAACTGGTAGGAATCCACCTCTGATTCACATGCCTTCTACATTTAAATCAGCTAAGGTATCAATGAGCTACAGCTCCTCCTACACATCTTGCATGGATACAGTATATTGGTTTAGAACTCATGTGACATTCCAGTGCATTCCATATTCACCTATTGGACAATCCTGTTTATTGCACATATCACGTTGAATGACTTCGCCTGCGCATGACTTTCCACCATACTGAGGTTCTGGACTATTGCAGAGACGAGATCGCTCACGAATGCCTCCACCACAGGAAACTGTGCATATAGACCAAGGAGACCAAGGACCCCATCGACCATTGACTGGAAGAAGTTAGACAACAACATTTTAGCATAAGGAACCAAAATCTCAATCGATAAGTGATTGCAGTAACCACACTTATTTTAACTGGTCATTTCATTAGTGTGATTAATATAAAACTTCTTTGTTTTTGGTCTTATCAACATTCCAAAACACAATTTGCATACTCAAAGCAACTCACTAATATTATACCCTAATTCACCTATCCCAATGGATCAAGTGAGTTTGGGCTGTATTTGATGCAGGTCTCTGCAAACAATGTAGCTGTAGTTAAAACACCTACAGTTTAATGGTATGTCAGAAGATAAATGTAATGAAGGAAAAAAATGCACATTTTCTATTAAATTAAATGAGCCGTACTAGATGACACTGAATTGTATTCAAAATTTATCCTTAATTATTGTTGTTACTGGGATATGTTTCTATAACACTGTACACTAGGACTATGCACACTTCAATAGTGATGCAAAAATATGCTCAGCACCTCACATAAACACAGTATCGCACTGCTATTCATTAGGCAACTCTTTTTCAGACTTCCATGTGAACCTAAAAAAAGCAAGGCTGGTGCACAAGAATGAGTTTATTAGCTCTGATGCCATGGGCCACCTTAAAAAAAAGACTATTTTATCTGTGGAAGCATTCTATGCATTTTGAGACTCTGGTAAATCTATACTCTAATGCAGAGCTTCTATGATAAGAAGATGCTGTTCTGACTTAGGCTTCCCAAGAGCATGAAGCAAATTCCTTGTCCCAACAAAAAACCCTTTTATTAATTTACTGTGAATTCTGCTCATTCACATCCAGCAAATCCAGCAAAGTCTTTCAAGGGAGGATTTACAGTCAGAGACCTTATCTGGCTTGGAGAGCTGACAGACGATGTCTGCAAAACTTGGCAAGCAGTCTTGGAGAGTCACGAACCAATTAAGCAAACCAATTGTCTCCTGCAAACTCCACTCTCCTTTCGCTCCTCTTTTATTTCCTCTGGGAGGGGCCATTCATCATCCACCTGTGGTCTTACTCCGAAGTCGACCCCTTTTCTTTAGCTGTTCCCGTCATCTGGCAACTCTGCACATGTGCACACTGGGAACAGGCTCCATCTGTTCATCTGCTTCACTGATGTCTGACTGTGAAGGCAGCTGATAACTGGCATATGGCTCTGGCCCACTCTCTGCCTCCGACACAGAGCCCTCATCAGAGCCTTCCCCAGACTCCAGGACTGGCCTATGTTCCTCCCAACCTCCTCACTGTCCAAATCTGCTGCCAGCTCTGCTGGCCACTGGTGGGCCACAGCAGATGCTTTCTACTATAGAAGATGTAGACTTTGAACTCTTTCATTATACACATGGAAGGCTTTTCGTGCATATTCATATGGTCCTATTACAAGACAGAGATTCCAGTCAACAAACTCACTTGGACATGGCTCCCTTTCGCATTCTTCAGTTTCACGTCCACCTCCTTTGCAGCTTTTCCCACCCATTTGTGGCATTGGGGAATTGCAGAGTCGTATGCGAGTGATATTGCCTACTCCACATGTTACGGAACAGGAAGACCAAGGAGACCAGTGACTCCAACCACCATCTTGACGTACTGAACAAGAGAAAGAAAAAATAATGATGATTTTGCTTCTTCAGTCTCAAAGACTCTAAAGGAAATTCCAGTTTATCTCTAGGGATACTGTATAAATCTCTCTTGGATTATAATTCAAAATATAATTATATCTCTGATGGTTCCTGCTACCTCTTCATCACACCTTCAGTCATGTCAACAAATTGCACACATAGTTATATAAACACCCATCTGGGTCAGACAGAGCAGTATCTTCACCAATCAATTGTTACTTGAGCAATTCCCTCTTGGGGAAAAATAAAAGTAAAGATAAAGGTTTCCCCTGTCCAGTCATATCCAGCCTTAGGAGACAGTACTCACTTCCATTTCTTAGCTGAGTGAGCCAGCATTGTCTGCAGAGATTTCCATGGTCATGAAGCCAGCATGATTATATGCGGAGGTACATGGAACGCTGTTACCTTCCCACCAAAGTGGTATCTAATTATCTACTCGCATTTTCATGCTTTAGAACTGCTAGGTGGGCAGGAGATGGGGCAAGTAATGGGAGTTCACCCACTGCATGGAGGTCAGGTCTTGAACCCAAGCTTTCCAGCTGACAAGCACAGTGTCTTTAACAGCTGAGCTATTGTACCCCTAAAAATACTGCAAAAAATAAGATAACTATAAAGGTGTTTAGAAAAGACCATGTCTTAAAAAGCGATTAATCTCATGGTACCTCATTTTTATCCTTCTTTTAAGATTAATCCTAGATTTACTGTCCTTTTACTGGATGCAAAGTAAAATAATGTGATATAACACTCACTGCGATTGTCACATTTGCCAAGAGAGCAAGTCCTGGTCTGAATGGATGGGCCTCGGCAAGTATTGCTGGTGACATCACATGATCTTCCTCGCTGCTGGGTTCCAGCTCCACATGTGACTGAGCATTCTGTCCACTCTGACCAGGGAGACCAGCCTTCCTCCTGATCGTCAGCTGCAAATCAGGAGACACAAATATTATGTGATGGTCCAGTTATTTACAAATATTAGCTTGTCATCATTTACAGATAAGTTAGGAATCAGAAGGACAGAAGATCCAAACAATCAGAAGGACAGGAGATGCAAACAAAGCTCTGTAAAGTGCTAACTTTCCAAAATGATATGCAGCTCGAAATCCAATGAATATGGTTATTTTAGTACAGCAAGTTGGGTGATTTCATTTATCTCATCTCTATTTAGTGTTAGGTTCATAGAGAATGCTGTTATTTTTTTAATGGTGGCCTTTGTAAGCATCACAGTTTCCAAAACATCCCTTTGTTTTGGTTTTGAATTAGAGTATGAATCTCACATGGAGGAATTTTCAAATAAACAACACCCCTACTAAAAAGTGAAATAGAAAATCCCAGTATGAAATTCCTGTTTAAAGGGCTATACCATTTCAAATTGCAGGATTTAATTGAACCAAGAATATTAGCAAAGATCCTTGTTCTTCATATGGGAAATTGTCATTTTATTTCAATCTGTGCTCAATTTCCCTGTGCAACCACATTTTTTTCTTTGGTTACTGAATAGGTGTTTTTGGCTTACCTTAAATACAGTGGTATTTAATATGATGGGAGGCCGCATCATACAAATTGGGAAAATGTAGTATACTTACTGTGAGAACAGATAGGACAGCACTCGCCATCAATAAAAGTTGGACGGACACAATGCACGAACGGGCATGTGATTTTATTGCACACGGTTTTAGAGTTCTACATGCAAAAAAACAACAACAACCAATCCCAGGGTCAGAGTACAGAATACAGAAATGAAGTCAACTAAAGACATCTCTTTAAAAAATTAGAAACATGCAAATCACTGGAACTTAATTGGATAAGCTGATTTTCTTTTTGATAAAAAAGATATACCAAGTGATAAAAAGTAGAATTTTCTATTGCTTTTTGTGCAATAGCATCCATATTTCCAATGAGATACCACTCAAAACTCATGGGTAAATAACCTTGATCAAGAGGATAATAATATGTATAATATCTTCAATCCTGTCCTTCTGTTATACTTAATTTCTCAGTCACAATCTTGGTTGCTTGGTTTCTATATCCAGAATATCCAGGGGGTGTGAAGGTATGGGTTAATAAAAATAGCCAAGTTGGCAAGATACACCCATCATGATGCAAACCTTCTGTTCATGTATGACTAAACAACAGATGTCTAAAAGAGGTAGGACTACAATTGCATCTACCATCTTGCTTTTTTTACATTCTCCTCATTCATGTTGGATATGTTTGACGGGGAACAGAGAAAGAGATTCAGGATAGCCATACCCTGGAATCTCTCAGGATGTATTTAGTAGGTTATAAGATTATAGCTTTAATTTGGCAAGATTCTGTACATTAGGTGCAAGCAAATAAAGGGTGAAACTTGATTGGATCTCATTGTCTCATCTCTGGGCTTGGGACTGACATATATACACTCTTCTTCATATCAGCTTTCAAAGTACCATTTTCCCTAGTGGATGTTCTACAAATGAAGATCCTGTTGCACATTAGGTCATTGAAGATGGCAAACAAAAATTCACTCCCTGCCCACTAGAAGCTTAGAAGACAAAATGTTTCATTTTATCTCAACTTTGGAGCTTCTGAGCAATGGAATCTACTTCATGTCTACTACCGTAGTATGGGGACATAAAATTATAATGCTATGTAATTCCAGTGGCTAAGACTGGAATCTATTGCAATTATTCTTCAAAGAATTTCACATGGTCTGGATTATAAACTCATCACCATTTTAAAATTAAACATTTTCGTCCCTGTGACAAATTCTACTTTTTGTTTGCTGAGTTCAATTTATATGACTGATTATCTCACCGTAGTGACTCTGGATGACTAATAAATTAAAAACACAACCAACAATGAAAATAAAATACATGACCAGCAATCACAGTTTTAAAAAGACAATCAGACTATGATTTGCATAGCCATCTCATGAGTCATGACAACCGAACCTCTAAATCCATGAACACAGCTACTGTTGGGGCCAACCTGAGTTACAGGTGGATGGTGTTCCGTATGGCAGGTGCAATAAAAGGAAAGGTTCTCTATGGGCCCCATAACATGCCCCTTCTGCTTAATTTAATAAGATGGGTAGGAATAATTGGGAGAGGTAGTCCCATAAATAAATTCCTATTCATGGTACCTTAGTGTTTGTTTGGTTAAGGTTTGAAAGGACAATGTATCACACGATCAGCTAAATATCAAATTTAGAATTGGCTACATTTGATGCAATGGGATTTAGAGCATGGTTAGCATATTTAGGATTACAGACTATCTTTACCCAATTAACAATTGTTGTTCAAAATCCAACATAGCACAGTGGAATGGTTTGTTTTGTTATTTTTTCTTAAATACTCCCTTATCATTCCTTCTACATTCCTTTGTCTGTGCATGGAAATAACAGTCTAAACCAGGGGTGTCAAACTTAAAGCCCCGGAGCCAGATCTGGCCCATGGGATGCTTAGATCTGGCTGGTGGACCACTCTGGAAACAGCGAAGAATTGTCCTGCAGTGTCTCTGCCAGTGAAAACGGAGCTCAGGAAGGCTGCATGTCGCCCTCCTGAGCTCCATTTCCACTGGCAGAGGGTTGCAAGAGGCCGTCACAGCCAAAAACAGAGCTTATAAACTGACAGAGCGCTCAGACCACTAAAGATGCCTCCGACATGGATGACATTGAGCTGGCCATGCCCACCCCAGCCATACCCACCATGACCTCCTGAGGTTAAACACAACCCTGATGCTGCCCTCAATAAAATTGTTTTTGACACCCCACTCTAGACCAAAATCCAATCTTACAAGCAACAGAAATGGAAGTTTATTGTCCATTGGTGTTTTTTTCACTCATCCTGGACATCAATGCAGACTTTAAAAACATTTCCTGACTGAGATAAGGAAACAGTGTATAGTATGAAGAGAGTCTTAAAAGGCTCACCTGGCAACTACATTTTGTACAGCTGTCCACCACCCAGTGTGAGTTATTTGCAAATTCACGGCCATCTTGCCAGCAAGCAGTCTGGTTCTTGAGTGTTTTGTTGGGACCAAGCAACTCTGATACAATTTTGTTATTCTCCTCTGACTGTACAATAAAAGAATGAGCCATTACAAATGAATACATCATGAACAAATAAATATGAAACTTGATCTGCAGTTAGTTTAGAAATGCAAAATACTTAGAAAGGACATTATTTGTACCCAGCTAATGTGTCAGTCAAAAAAGAAGCAAATAATTAAATTGCTATATTTTGGGGGTACAAATATCAACTCATATTACAATTCATGTCTGCAAGCTTATGCAGATAGCAATACATTCTGTGGAAAAACTGTTCCTCCAATAGAATTTTATTTAATATTGGATTCCACTCATCTAGCACACATTAGACCACTTCAGACTATAGGTGGTATTCAGCAGGTTCTGACCAGTTCTGGAGAACCAGTAGTAGAAATTTTGAGTAGTTCGGAAAACCAGTAAATACTACCTCTGACTGGCCCCGCCCCCATCTATTCTCTGTCTCCTGAGTTCCTGCTGATCAGGAGGAAATGGAGATTTTGCAGTAACCTTCCCCTGGAGTGGGGAGGGAATGGAGATTTACAGTATCCTTTCCCTGCCATGTCCACAAAGTCATACCCACCAAGTCATGCCACACCCACAGAACCAGTAATAAAAAAATTTGAATCCCACCACTGCTTCAAATCTATTTCAAGTGTGTGGTGAGAGTCAGTGTGGTGTTGTTCTTCAGGTCCTGGAAAATGACTAGGGAGGTTCAAATGGAAGTCCTCTTTCAGCCACAAAAAGTAACAGGATTACCTGAGTCATTTTCTCTCAACCCCATCTACTTCAAAGAGCTACTATTAGAGGAATATGAAAAGAGAGAGCCCCATGCAAGACAGTTTCTGATATGAAAGGATAAGAAGAAAGAAGTCAATGAGCAAGGAAATAAAAATATGCAGATTTGATTCATACTGCAGAGTTGGCTATAATCTTAACTAGAAAGATTGAAGCATTTTGGGACTGGTATACATTTGCCAGCTGAAATACCTTCCTATCAACTGTTTCCAAAGTATATGCCAAATGAATAGAGAAATAGGCCAGCAGAAGAGCCAAAAAAAAAAAGAACAGATAAGAATCAAGGCAGAGAGGGACTAAACCACCTCTCACCAAATTCTAACTCCAATGAGAATCCCTCTTCCATTCATCTTTCTTTCTTACCCCGTAACCCCATTACAGACACACACAAACTCACATTCAATTGAGCCGCCCTAATGTTAGCTTGAAAGCCAATTTGGTGTAGTGGTTAAGGCATCAGGCTAGAAACTAGAAGTCTGTGAGCTCTACTCCTGCCTCAGGCATGAAAGCAGCTAGATGACCTTGGGTCAATCACTTTCTCTCAGCCCTAAGAATTAAGTAAAGAGAAACCACTTCTGAAAAAATCTTGCCAAGGAAACTGCAGAGATTAGGCAAGACAGCTTCTTAGACTTGGACATGGTTGAATGAAAGACAGGGGAAAAATGGTACTTCAGTCTGGGTATTTTGGCTATTTAATTTACATGCTGCTAAACTCATAGAAAATTATGGAGTAAATTATTCTGTTGATTTCAGTGAATTGAATTCAAGTATGACCAAGTCTGGAACCAGCCTACAGTGAAAAGCACGATGCATTCATTATACAATATGTTACATAGTCTACTGTTTAGAATCAGCAAAGAGCGACCTCTTAGGCATTATGCATTTTGGCTTAAGAATATGAAAGAAACTGCTTTGGAATTCTAATCACGAATGCTAGTTGAATATCAAGCACAAAAGTCAGGATATTCCCAGTGATCCTTATCAGTGTTTTAAATAAATAAGTGCACATGTATGAGAGAGAAAGAGAGACAGACAGAACCAGGGGTGGGCTGCTGGGGGTTCACAGAGTTCAGGCGATCCTCTAGCTAGGATTCTGCCCAGTTCGGCGAACCCCCAAATTCCATTCCTGGGTGGCCACACCCATCCCTCCCCGTCCATCCCACCCCTCCTCGCCTTTACCTTCAGTCTCCATGCAGCCCATTCATTATGCCAGGTAAGTGCAAGGCCCATACGGAGGCTCGCGAAGGACAAAAAATGGGCCTACCAGAAGTTCTGGAAGTCTGGAAATGGGCCTGTTTTCAACCTCCAGAGGGCCTCCAGAACCCGAGGGAAGTGGGTTTCGCCCTCCCAGAGGCTCGAGGAAAGCCTCTGGAGCCTGGGGAGGGCAAAAATGGGCCTACTGGAAGTTCTGGAAGGATGGAAATGGGCCCATTTCTGGCCTGCAGGAGGGCCCCCAGAGCCCGGGGGAAGAGGAGCCCCCCCAGACTCGAGGAAAGCCTCCAAAGCCTGGGGAGGATGAAAAATGCTCCCACCACTATAGTGAAGGAGGCCAACTGGGCCACGCCCACCATGGCCCCATCCACCCAGTAATAGGCAGTGAACCCATTGCTGCAATTTTTGTAGCCCACCCCTGGACAGAACCCTCATAATTACTGAAAGTTTTTAGTCATGTGAACCCAGAAGGTAGACTAGAATTTCCATCACCCATTCCTGGAAACAATGGTCAATGTAATCCAACTATATCCTGGGAACTCAAGGCTGAAAACCAGTTTAACTGTTTGACTGTTTATTAAATTTATAGGCCGCCCAATCCCGGAGGACTCCGGGCGGTTTTCAGCAACAGAAATTAAAAGAAATTAAAAACAGATAAAACACGACAAATTTAAAAAGACACAACATGCACCCAATCTAAGCGGGGCTGGACCTCAATCCAGAGGTCAACAGCCCCAGGCCTGCCGTAATAGCCAGGTCTTAATAGCTTTTCGGAAGGCTCCAGTTAGAGCCGGAATGACTGGAGTTACCTACCACACTTTTCAATTTGTCAGACAAGCCGTTGATAACAACTCGTAATCCATGGAGCTCAGCAAACATAGATCCAAGCTCTTCACAAGAGCGATCACAGAATTCTGCTTTCTTCTCTGTGTTTTCTCCAACATACTCTGTCATGATTGAAGGACTGAGATGCAGGATCTCTGTGTTCTCATTAATAGTGTTCACTTCAGCTGCAAAGAAAGAAAACCAAATGAGAATGCACACATACACCAAACTATGTTCCACTAGTTGTACCCTTTGATTAAAATTATACATTGGAACAGGTTCAATTCAAATTATATGAAGGTGAGAAAAGAGGTTGGATCCCAACTCTTGTCAATTATTGCTTTCCACAGTTTAAATCCCAAATCTAAAGAAGTATCCTCTCCTTATCTCAGAAGGCAATGGAAAAGTTCTTTAGAAATGCTGTAGAAAGCTGTTAAACCTGTCCAATTCAGTTACAATCATAACATGCATCCTATACAACATTGTCCTTCTGAAATAACTCCTGACGTCTTTTCAACATTCTAGTTCCTGCAGAATTTGACTTTTAAAAAGGGAGCAAAAAATAATGTAGTTAAAATAAATGTTTGAGTCTTAATTATTTCCCTTCAGAAATGACTGCACAGGAGGAATGCAAAGGTACAGACATTAAAGATACCATAATCATTCTTTTTAAGGACTTTTAAAAGTCCAAACAGAGGACACAGTGGCTCAGTGGCTAAGATGTTGAGCTTGTCAATCAGAAAGGTCGGCAGTTCAGTGGTTTGAATCCCTAGCACCACATAACAGAGTTATGAGAGTGAGCTCCCAACCTAGCAGCTCGAAAGCATGTAAAAATGCAAGTAGAAAAATAAGAACCACCTTTGGTGGGAAGGTAACAGCGCTCCATGCGCCTTCGGTGTTTAGTTATGCCAGCCACATGACAATGGAGACATCTTCAGACAGCACTGGCTCTTTGGCTTTGAAACAGTGATGAGCACCGCCCCCCTAGAGTCGGGAATGACTAACACATGTGTGTGAGGGGAACCTTTACCTTTACTTTAAAAGTCCAAGCAACTTGCTTGAACAAACTTAGAAATTTGTTAAATATTGGAGACTTCTTCACTGAACAAAGATGAGCAGCAGGCATGTGGCTTTAGAAAAATAATTCTGCATTGGCCAATACCCCCTTTTGTAGTGAAAAGAAAGGAGCCAGGTGTCCACAGGGTGTGGTCAAAGCCATCATCTTGTCTTTGATTATATCCTGCAGACACCGTTGGAAAGGGGATAGAGTAATTATGATACCACCAATGAGATTAATGTGATATGGAAAGTTGGCCCCAATTTTGAACTTGGCATTATTACCAAGGAAGTGCAATCATTTGAGTTGGATTCCAAAATCTTTTGATGTTCCAGCCAGGAACATCAAATACAGCTTTGGGCTATGGAGAAGAGCAGACTCTCCATAGCCCAAAACTGTATTCAATAATCAAATCCAAAGCACTGTGCAGCCCTAATAAAAATTCTGCTGTTTCAGAAGGAGAACAGGATTATATGGAAATCAGGATCTTCATTCACTCTTGGCATTGATTTTCTTCTGGGATACTGCTGTGATGGCATTACATGTGCCACAATTAGTTGGTCTGGTTAGGAGAATGGAAGATAAATGGGATGGACAGTGGGGCTCCCCATTCTCTTCCTGCAGTTTACTAGGCATTCTGAAAATCAAATGGATGGGAGACAGGATGAAGAGCCTGCTGAAACATATTTTGAGGGCTTGAAAGAGTACCTTCCATCATGAGAAAAGAAATCTGTTCCCACATTTTGCCCTAAGTGATCTTTGCCTTCTTTGGCTCTTTCGAGGCACCAAAAATAAGATTAAGGGTGGGGAGTGTTAAGTGTACTGAAAACCCCACTAACAAAAGGCGGGGGTAATCTTGACAGAACAGGTCTAGGATGGCATTGTATGGATTTTCCGCCTTTCTTTTATCCTATAAACCCTATTTTCCACTCCACAAAATTGAAGAAATGAAGATTCCCTAAGTGTTACTATTTCAATGTATGTTTCACTCCATTTGGATAGACAACAGTCTTTCTAAACTGAGTTGGCAGAAAACTGCACATTTCTGTCAGAGCATGCCTAATGCTGGTACAATGCTTCTTGGCAGCCCTTTTGCTGAAAGAACAAATCCACTTTAAAAAAAAAAGATAAATTCAGAGACCCAAGTCCTAAACTCCAGATTCTTGGCATAAGTTTGAGAACTACAAGGGAAGAGGCTTGCTCTCAATATGACTAAGATTCAAGAATTTGAGACTTGGGAACAGCCTTTGTGGTCACCTAGCCAATATCCTGCTCCATGCAGATTGTTGCAACCACAGTATTCCTAACTTTAGTATGGGCCATACCAGGTTCTTAGCATAAAAACGTAAGCAGTGACCTGGCCCATTTTGTCTAGCTACCTGTTCTCACAGTGGTCAACTAACTCCATAAGGAAGCCCATTAGTCTCTCAGCAGATCAACTTCAGAGCAGTGGTGAAATTCAAAGTTTTTAACTACTAGTTCTGTAGGTGTGGCTTCATGGGCATTGCAGGAGAAGGATACTTTAAAATCTCCATTCCCACCCCTCTCTAGTGCCAGCCAGCATTGATATTTGCTGGTTCTCCGGACTACTCAAAATTTTCACTACCAGTTCTCCAGAACCTTTCAGAACCTGCTGAATTTCACCTCTGCTTCAGAGGTAGCCACCCTGCCATCAAGGCTAACAGACATTGATCCCCATGTCTTCCTTGAATTGGTCAAACCTAGTAAAGAACAATCCACTGTGCAATCCATTCTTCAGATGATCCTCTCTTCCTACAGAATTTTTTTTCAAACATTTAGTTGAAAACTGTTTCCTTGCCATTGTATCCCGTTCTAAAAAAAATTCTATACTCTGCAAAATCACTTCTTATCAAAACAATTTGGAAGCCCATCGTTTGTCTTGTATAAATTTAATTCTTGGAATGGTCTGAAAAATTGAACACTTATGAAACATGTACATTCCATTAGATTTTAGCATTACATATCAATAAATGGTTTTCCCAGTTGCAATATATGGCTGTGAAAGTTGGGCCATAAGAAAGGCTGAGCATCAAAGAATTGAGATCTTTGAACTATGGTGCTGGAGAAGACTCCTGTGAGTCCCTTGGACTACAAGGGGATCAAACCAGTCAGTCCTAGAGGAGATCAATCCTGACTGCTCTTTAGAAGGCCAGATCCTGAAGATAAAACTCAAATACTTTGACCACTTAATGAGAAGAAAGGACTCCCTGGAGAAGAGCCTAATGCTGGGAACGATTGAGGGCAAAAGAAGAAGAGGGGCGACAGAAAATGAGATGGCTGGATGGAGTCACTGAAGCAGTAGGCATGAGCTTAAATGGACTCCAGAGGATGGTAGAGGACAGTAAGGCCTGGAGGAACAGTGCCTTCCATCGGGTACAATGGGTCTGACTTTACAACTAACAACAACCAATAAAGAGAAATTAAAATAGCATTCCTAGAATTCTTGTTTTAGAATATTTTAACTAATTATTTTTTATTTCATAAACTTTTAAGCCATGTCACATATCCAGACATTTAGTGGTACCTTTCTTAAGCAAAGTGCAAATTATAAAAAACAAGGCAGTAACAAAAGTTATTGCTATTGTCCTCTAGAAATTGTTATTTTAAATGTTCAGAAACCCTCTGGTATTACTTCAATTGCCTTACTAGTGACTGTAGAGAAAGGGCAACAGACTGACATCACCATGTTATGCTTAGTTATACTAGTGAAAATCAGTAGGTATATCAGAATGGAAATATAATGATAGCATAGTGTCAATGTAGCGAAATAGGAGGAAAGTGGATATTTGATCTGTGACTAATCCAAAATACAACTTTCATCAAAGAAAGTCTGTTTGGCAGGGGGAAAGCTTACTGCTAATGATACTAATCAATTTAATTGTGGTGTCAACAGCTAACTAAATCCTTTCCCAAAGTCTATAATTAATTCTTTCCAGCACTGAGAAATTTGAATGACTTGGCTGTTTTAAGACATCAGAGTAGAAACCCTAAATATGCACCACTGCATGGAAAATTGATCATGAAGTGGAATATCAACTTAAGTGTCAATTTGCTGGAATAAAATGACGTCTTCCTATCTGGACACAAAAGTATAATAGGCTGCCCATATGCAACGTAATTAATGTGAGATTGTAACATCAACCTCAACCGGGTTTTGACCCAGCATATTAAGATTGCAATCATCATAATGGATCTAGAGGCAGTCCAAACAGTAACAAAAAAAAAAAACCCTGTTGCCAATTGACATCCAGCAAAAAACAGTATCGAGGCCTCCTTCTGGTCATTTACATAAAATAATTCTAAACAGTCCTTTTAATAAGATTTTTATATGTACTTAGATAAGGCTGTTTCATCTTTCTTTGTCTTTGGCTCTTAATGCAAAAATATATCCCAAATAAATGACATCTTTGTGAAATGTCATATCTATTCAATTTTGTTTTAATGATACTAAACACAAAATCTAAACTTTTAATGATGTCAGATGCACCCTAGATCTCATGCCAATTTATTGCCTTGTGAATGGACGTACACTGATTTTAAAGTACATTTTAATATTTAGGCAATTGTCTTGTCAGTTCTATTATAAATGGGATAATAGCTTATGTCTTTTCAAGTATTTTCATCCCCGATTTCTTGACATGCTAGCTTTGGCGGATAGGAATTATAATCCAACAACATTTAGAAAGGCATAGATTACCCAATCCCACTTACCTCTTTGGAAAAAATAACATTTGGGAAATAGGATTGACTAAAATAAACCAATCAATGAAATACCAAGTTGGAAAACAAGGTTTCTAAAACCTGCAGTTCATTCTTCATGAGGTATGTGATATTATACTTAGGAGGTATAAATTTTAATTTTTGTGACGCTCCACTTTACAATTTTCATAATTATAACCCAAAAGAAAGGAAGTAGTTCTCCTTTTTCATAAAACTATTGAAAAGTTTTTAAAGTCCTTCCTTCCTTCCTTCCTTCCTTCCTTCCTTCCTTCATTCATTCATTCATTTATTCATTCATTCTTCTTTATAGGTATGAAATCTGACTGGGAGACTTTGGACCAGTCAAACTCAGCCAGGTATTTATTGGGGAAAACTGGAAGGAGGAAGGTGTAATAGTCTTGAGTTATTAATTGTCTTGAGTTATTTATAAAAATAATAAAGGTAAGATAATAAATAAATTTGGTAGGAGTTGTATTGAGAAGTACAGCAAACAGAACAACTCATGCTTAATTTTATTATCAATTATACTAAACTTTTCATTCTATTCATTCACACTTCCATTATTTTCTTTCCCCCTTTCCCACTCATTACATTCCCTTTTGGATTCAGCCTAACAGAGAAGGAACATGTGCATAAATTCTGGATTAACAATGCCACAGCTTCTTCTTACCTGATTGACTTCTCTGGCATCCTTTATTGCGCAAAATATCCTCTACTGTAGTTCCAAAAACCAGATAAAGATTTTGTATGAGACCCTGAAAACAGACAGAAGTATTTTTTTCATTTTTCTCATATATTTTAGGGATATCTTGTTGTTGCCTGTTTTTTTAAACTGAATTTAACAATGAATAGATTAACAAATGCAACTTTTATTATGATAAAAATGTTTCTCCAATATATTGCTTCATGTGTAAAGAGGCATTTCTTTGACACAGAGTTAATATTCCACCAGCTGTCTTTGTAACACATTTTCAAAAGTTATAATATTCAATGTGATGATACATAAACACAATAATAAAAGAGAAATAAACAATTAGAAAACTATAATTTAAAACTTTCTTAGTATGGACTTCATCAGATGATTTTGGTCAAATGATTATTTCTCAGTGTAATCTATATCACTGGATTGCAAACAAATCATGATAAGATGATGGAATCCCATGGAGGAAAGATGATAAAAAGTACAATAACTCTATACTATAGAGTAATATGACAATGTTCATAATATATTAACTGGCTCATATTGGCTTCTAACACCCAAATCCTGGGATGATGCAGAATATTTTCTAATAACAATCTGATAACAGTCTTTACCAACCTTATGAAATTATAGTTTCCAGAATTACTTGGGAAGAGGTTAGTAAGAAGTTAATCTTTGATGGTTTTAGTCATACTTTCTTCTAGATGGATTTGCAATCTAAATTGTAAATTAATAATGTGTGTTTACCCAATTACATTCTATTATTGGTGAATAGTTGAGATCTAAGACCGTTAACTACTTTTCAATCAGTTTATAGAGCTAAAAAAAGACAGGAAAAATAGAAATGGAAAATTCACTCCGATCTACACTCTTCATTAGTGCAATAAAGTATTTACAGCCCAATCAGTGGTCTGCATATTAAAAGTTTAAATCTGAGGACATCTGGAAGGCTACAGATTCCTTACTCATGTTCTAGACAGTAGGAAAGAAATTTCTAATTTTCCTTTCCCCCTTTCAGATGCAGACTAAAAAAAAAGATATACATGTTTCCTCCACAGTGTGACTAACATGGAATGAATGTGTAATTCAACATCTTTTGAAAGCTTGGATAAATCTACTGTTGTTGTGAAAAAATACAGCTGTTAGCATCTGTATTCAACAATTGTTGCTAATCCATCAATTAGTACATCCCAAGGGGAGATATTCTATAGACCAATTCCCACACTCTAGAAATGCTATGAATGACTAAGATTACAATCCTTTAGGTAAACTCTTTTACGTTCTACTCAACTCATTGGGACTTGCTTCTGAAAAATGTGACCCACTGGACTGTTATTAGGTGCCCAGAATCATGTGTATGAGAAGGATGGCCTATAAATTTATTAAATAAATATTATTATTCCGCCCTCTCACTTTTAAGAGTCCAACTAACTGTTTCTTATTTAAAATCAAACTAGTATACTCAATTAGTTACAAGTAAATCCTGGTCCCCCAAAAAATGCCATGGATTGAAAGGCAGAATAAGATTTCAATTTTTCATTAGATTGCAACCTCTCAATCTGGAGCAGCATCTGCCTCCACAAAAAAATGCCTACTAGGTCCTTTAACTGCTCTTTTCAGCACAGGCAGTTTTGTCTTGTTTTTTTTAAAAAAAATAATAGTGCCTTGACCAATGGTGGGATTCAAATAATTTAACAACCAGTTCTCTGCCCTAATGACCATCTGGGTAGGTGGGGCTCAGTGGTCATGTGACTGGGTGGGCATGGCCAACTCAAGGTCACTCATGTTGATGGACGCTTCACCTTAGCTGTTACAATGTAGTAAGAGTTAACTGGAGAGGCAGTTTCTGTAAGCAGGGCAATAAAGATTAGGCTAGAAACAACACTAGAATGTTTCCTTCCTGCCTTCCTTACAGGATTAGCCCTGTAAAGTGGGAAAAAAATAAAATAAGATTTCTTCCAACAACCGGTTCTCCGAACTACTTGGAAAGTTACCAACAGGTTCTGCTGAATAGGCGCGAACTGGCTGAATCCCACCACTGGTCTTGACTATGGATATGTGCTGTTAAATCCTATGTATGTATGACTTAATTTCTTTGTTTATATTGCCCCAAGTTCTTGATAAGCAAAGTTATTAAATCAGAAATAGATAAATTACAAATGGGTATACTGCACTCATGTTTTTCAAAAGAGAATCCCTAGTTGAGCAGCCCTTATTTTATAATTGATTGATTAAATGTATATGCCACCCATTGCCCCAGTAAGAAGACTCTGTCTTAAGTGCTTTCTTAAGATGATACCTGGGGTGAAATCCACTTACCTGTGCTACCAGTTTGGTAGCAATGTGAGGACCTTCCATGCATGTGCAGAGCATCAACATGACGTCTGAGTGGGTGGGCGGAGCCCGCTAACGAGCGCACCCGGCAAGCAAGTAAGTAAACAGCCAGGTAAGCAAACAGCGAGAGGGGGGAATCTGCTGTGTCACGCGGTTTAGATTAGCTAGAAAGCAGGAAATCCTGCTTTCTAACTAATATAAATTGCGGGGCACAGCTGATCGTCAGAAAAACCTGTTCGTCCAAACTGGTAGCATTTTTTTTACTACTGGTTCAGGCAAACAGCTGGCATCTTTACTACTGGTTTGGGTGAACTGGTCCGAACTAGTAATGTTTCATCCCTGGATGATATCATAATTCAAAGAAAAAAAGCAATCCTTGCAAGGCGTTGCTCTAATAGCTCCTACTTAGGCATCCGAATTCTATAATTGCCTTTTTCACCATTCCTGATGTCATGCAACACGTGATCAGCAACCCTCAAGGGTTTTTAAATAGCTATTTTATGTTCACTAAAGACATTCTATACATCCTAATGGATTTTCAGAAGTTCATCTGGTTGACATTTTAGTTAATTACATGAGGAGTATTTCAAAATATTGTGCAGTTAAAGTGTAAGCTTGCAGGAAATGGAGCTCATTAAGTTCTCAGTGCTGGAGAAACTGCCTAATTTAGGTTTAATTAAGGAATTTAAGACCTTTGAGATGGGAATATATTAAGTCTCCTTAGCATGAATCAGCATCAGACTATAAGAATGGAAGTCTAGTTATATTTGGACAGCCATTACATCTCTGATGCTGGTACAGAGAAAGAAAGACAACTCTAGAACTTTCTGAACAAGTAGTTCTTGCTGATCAACTGACTTGTTTAGCAACCATTTCAATTTGTGATGGTTGAAAAAAATAGCTTTGCGAAAAATCCTCACATAGTTCATTGCAGCATCCTGCAGTCACATGATTGATATTTGCAAGCTTCACAACCAGTTCCAACAAGTAGAATTCATAGAGAACACAGAACTAAAATTGCAAGTCATGTTTATGTAATGTCTTGTTTTATGACCACAGTGATTTATTTAAGTACGGAAATGTAAATGACATTCAGGCACAGTCATGTTTTGTTTTGTTTTACTTAGCAATAGAGTTGCTGATCCCAATTGTGGTAGGTGAGGACTACCTGGAAATGGTGAACTTACACCTGATGGTGCTTCAAAAGATCAGACATGGAGGACTGGAAGAAGAAATCATACAGACCAGGAAACTGTTGGCCAAAATGGTCTCTCTTACCTTATTTCCTTGCTCATCTTATAAGGTACAGTTTTGAAATACTGAACATGTCATTTCCTATTTTATATGCTACTTCAGAAAATGTAACAGAGTTGAAATTGTTTTCCCCCGTTATGCAAACTGTGAATTCTGGAAGTTTAGTCCAGGACACTAGTTTGAAGAAGGTTGAACTGAAGCAATGAACAATGGAGATGCTCCTTCTTCCTTCTCTTCTAGCCTTTCCTCCCCAAAGTGCTAGCTCACTAGTAACCTTGAGACAGTTGCTGTGGCTTCCCTACCAGTTCGAAAATTTGAGTGCGCGCCTCCATGCATGCGCTATGCCTTCTGCACATGTGCTTTTTGCTTTAAAAAGGATCTAAATGGGATGCCATAGAGCTGGGGCAGGTAGGTAGGGCCACCGATGATTTCCACTACTGGTTCGGGCAAACCGGTCGAAACCGGTAGAATACCATTTCTGGTTTTGCTCATGGGAGGAGGAGGAGGAGGAGGAGGAGGAGGAGGAGATGATTGCAGCTTTCAGTGAGGAGCATTATCAGTGCTGGGAGGAGGAGGAGGAGGAGATGATTGCAGCTTTCAGTGGACACTATGTCATGAACTGATTTAAATAATTACAACCTCCAGCGTACTTACCATACTTTTCAGATTCCAAGTAAACTTTCTATACCACCTCCCCTGGGAGAAAGACTTGATGGATTCAGTAGTAGTTGACATAAATAACATTCAACTGCAAGCCTTTTATTTTGTAGACCATCTGGCTTGTAGGATACCTACCCGAAAGTGGCTCTCTCGTGTAGCTCCCCTGACCACATACATGTTACTTTTCTCTGCTTTCAGGTATTCATAGAAAGGTTCTTCCAGGGTCAAACTGTCAACAAGGTCGCAACCAACGTAGATACTGAAGTTTTCTCCTGTGACTTGTACCGTGATATTCTTCCACTGCACATCAGCTAATTCCACGTCTTCCAAAGAATGCCGTTTCCAGGCTCCATCAATCCAATAGGAAAGGTCAAGCGTGTTTTCTTGACCATTGGAGACAATCTCAAACTGTCGTTGAAAGATGCCAGGGCCTTCCAATGCAAGGATGGTCCCTTTGGAACTCCTATCCTGCCTCATGGTGAGGGTAAGTATGAAGCCCTCATTTTGCTGCATCAGTTTAATAATCTGCCTTAATTTCTCTGAATTAACTGGAGGAATGCGATCGAACCGGATGAAGCGATACGCTGGGACATTAGAAATGTTGCCCCGAAATAGTTTTGCTCCGATCGTCTTTCGGTTTATGTTGCTGATTTTCAGTAAGTCAAAAGAGGTCCCATCCTCTCTCTCGCCATCTGCAAAGCCACCGCCAAACAGTGACAAAGGTTACAACAAAGGAATGACCAATGGAATCGACTATCATCTGCCCAATACGTCTTTCATGCTCATACAGTTTTAGCATGGCTACTTATCATTGCACTTAAAAGTTACACAGGCCTTGACTCACGGCCACAATTGAGCTGTGATGGCACAGTGGTTAGAGTGCAGTACTGCAGGCTACTTCTGCTGCCTGCTGGCTGCCTGCAATTTGGCAGTTCAAATCTCACCATGCTCAAGGTTGACTCAGCCTTCCATCCTTCCAAGGTCGGTAAAAGGAGGACCCAGTTTGTTGGGGGCAATAGGCTGACTCTGTAAGCAGCTTAGAGGGGCTATAAAGTACTGTACATTGGTATATAAGACTAAGTGCTATTGCTATTAAGCCCTAAATTTCCATTGCTTGAGCAAGAGAGTTGTTAACTGAGTTTTGCCTCATTTTACGATCTTTTGCCACAGTTGTTAAGTGAATCTTAACAGTTATTAATTTGCTAAATTAGTAACACAGTTGTTAAGCGAATCTGGCTTCTCCATTGACTTTGCATGTCGGAAGGTCACAAAAGGTGATCAGATGACCCTGAAACCATCCTAAATATGAACCTGTTTCCAAGCATCCAAATTTTGATGATGCGACTCTGGGGATGCTGCAGTGGTTATAAGTGTGAAAAACAATCACGAGTCACCTTTTTTCAGTGCTGTTGTAACTTTGAATGGTCACTGAAGGGATGGTTGTAAGTCAAGGACTACCTCTAGTGCAATTTCTAGCCATTTTCTCACTCATTCATGCACAAAAACCTAGAAGGTAGGACATATGTATCTCAGGGGTGGGTTCCGGCAGTCACTACTGCTGCTTTGCTTGTAGGCATGTCACACACATGTACGCGCATGCACAGAGCAATAAAAATTGCTCTGCACATGCACAGAAGCAAAAAAACAAGATGGGCATCGCCAGGAGAACTGGTTCAGGGGTGTGGCAGGCCTGGGTCACTGCAGGTTCCAGCGACCAGGCCGCCAAACTACTACCGGTTCGGCCAAACCAGTCCGAACCTGTAAGAACCCACCACTCAACATTATAGACTGGATATAGACTGGCCCATATTGGATAAATACTTAGTGAATTAATCAGTGGATATAATTTAAATTAATCTCATGCTCAAATATACTGCATTGCAAGCTCTAGGTTTTAAAACACATTAAAACACACACTAAACTATAGTTTGTCTACTGAATAGTCCAGAAGTAGATGGTTCAACATATGGTTAAGATACTGTGTGAACCTTCCCAGTATGTTAAAAAGCAACTTTGCATCCACGCCCAAGTTGGCTGAGGCTGCTGGGAATTGTAGTTCGGCAAGCTGTTTATAAAAATCCTCCCCCCTTCATCATGAGCTTTAGGTGATCTTGTAAATAATCTCAGCTGGAATTAGTAGATTCAAATGCATAATAATATTGCCGTCATAAAGACACTGTTGATGAGAAATTTCAGGTGGAATTTTACCTCCAGGCTATTTCCATGGAAATGACAATTCTTACATGATTATGTTCTCCTGTGAATCGAGTGATTTAAATGTCTCATTCATGTCATGATATCATCATATCATTTCTCCCATCTGTATGGTAACCATCAAGACATGTGTGACATCATTGCATTGAATGCTTACATATTTAGTATGAATAATTACATACTTAGGGTGAATAATTGCTGCTCTTTGGCATGAAATTGTTTTGTCTAGCTGCTACTGTCTCTCGCTAAAATACACGAAAGAGATGTGCTTATTGAAACTGAATAAAAATGCAAGCCAAATCTACTGGCCTGCCAGGAAAGATGCAACACTGCAGCATCTGTTGAAGCCAAGGACATCCCTGGGAGCTTCTCAAAGAAGAGCAGCACATCAGCAAAGCCTAATAACCCCAGTAGATTTAGAGGTTTGTTTTTTTAAAACAATTGGCTGAGTCTTAATTCTCAGAGAGAATCAAATTATAGATGTACATGTACTAGCCAAATAATCCAAGAGAAAGAAGAGGTGCTTTTAGTCACAAATTAATGGGATGTCCAAAGCCTCACATGGACCTAAGTTTGTTTCCTGTTTTAAACATTTTGGCCTTTGCTCACTGCTGAGTTGAAGTGCCCTCTGCCAGTTTTTCAGCGGGCAGAAAATGCATCCGCCTGACATCAATCAGTCTCTATTTTGCCTCTATGGACTCTTTTCAAGCCAGTGCAGCAACCTGATTTCCCTCCAAAGTTAGGAAGATAAGTTAAGCAGGTTTTATAGACTTTGAGGCTGGTCTTGGAAGAAGAAGAAAAACCCAAATTAGACACCAGATTAGTTAAGGCAGCATGTCCGATTACAAGTCTAGTGAATTATAGGTCGTCCTCGATTTATAACCATTCATTTAAGTAACCATTTGAAGTTGCAGTGGCCCTGAAAAAAGTGACTTATGACCATTTTTTTTTACAATTGGGACCATTGCATCATCCCCAGGAACAAAATTCAGGCGCTTGGCAATTGGCATGTATCTATGACAGTTGCAGTGTCCTTTGGTCATGTGATCATCTTTTGCGACCTTCTGACAAGCAAAGTCAACTGAGAAGCCAGATTCACTTAACAACCATGTTACTAACTGAACAGCTGCTGCGATTCTCTTAATAACTGGGGCGAGAGAGGTCATAAAATGGGGCAAAATTTGCTTCACAACTTAGCAACAGAAAGTTTGGGCTCAAACGTGGTCATAAATTGAGGACTGTGTTGTTATTATTATTATTATGGCCAGCCAGTTGTTTAGGACTGGATTTGGCATTTTTTGTCCTCCTATCAAATCTTTCCCCAAGGACCTGGAATAAGCAGATATTATTATTATTATTATTATTATTATTATTATTATTATTATTATTATTATTATTATTATTATTATTAT